ACCAAATCATAACAACCGTTTACACCCCGCCTCGTCCCCAACGGCGCCGCCATCACGAGAACATCGTCACGCGCCGTCAAGAAGACTTTTGCGAAGACCCCCCCCCCCCACTTCCACTTTTTCTTCCATCTGCCAATTTCTCTTTCGGCTTTTCCACCGCACTTTACGGTTCGTGTGCATTCTGCTCCCGTGGACCATGCGGAGACGGGCGTGGGAAAGAGAAAGAGAAAGGGAGAGGGAGAGGGGGGTTAAGTGAGGGAAAGAGACAGTGGAAGAGAGAAAGAGAGGAGAAAGGAAGAAGAGAGAGAGAGGAAAGAGGAAGGAGAGTGGAGGGGCAAAGGCAGAAGGATGGAGGGAGAGTGAGAAAGAGTGAGGGTTAGAGTGAGAAGGAGAGGGAGAGAGAGAGAGGGGGTGAGAGGGAAGGAGGGAAGGAGGGAGGGAGGGAGGGAGAGCGAGTAAGAGAGTGAGAGAGAGCGAGAGAGAGAGAGCGAGAGAGAAAGAGCGAGAGAGAGCGAGAGAGATAGAAAGAAAGAGAGAGAGAGAGAGAGAGATAACTGAATGGCAAAGCGACAGAGGGCCAGGAAAAGAGCGAAGCGGTGCCTCCGCCCTGGCACTTTGGCACTCTGGAAGGGGAGGGGACGGAGGGAGGGGGGAGGAAGGCTCCGGGGAACGGGCAACAATACAAGCAATAAACAAGGATTATCTCAACGACAACCGCTCATCTACACTCGCACTATCGCAGACATACAAACGCACATACAATGCATAATAACGTAACGTAACGTAACACACACAATTCTCTCTCTCACACACACATAAGGAGTAAGAGAGAGAGAGAGAGAGAGAGAGAGAGAGAGAGAGAGAGAGAGAGAGAGAGAGAGAGAGAGAGAGAGAGAGAGAGAGAGAGAGAGAGGCAGAGATATCCAATCACATTCCTCCTCAAGTCCGTCATTCCTCCCCTCCCATCCCTCTCCCCTTTCTCGTCCTCTTCGCCTCATTTTCCCCTCTTCCCTTCCCTTTCCTACTTTCTCTCTCTCTCAGTACAAACACGCTGCCACACCAGATACGGCGAAGACCGCTGTAAGGTCGATTTCTCCGAGTCCAGCCTCTTGCGTGTGGTCCTTACGCGAACCGTCTTAAAGCTGACCCGCCGTTCCCGCCGTCGATATAGGGGAGGGACTGTGGGGGTGAGGGGAGGGGGGAGGGGGGGGGGCGTAGTGACGTCCAGGGAGGAGGACCCTCTGCTTGGAGCCTCCCTCACCACACGCCACCACATTCACCACACTCACCCACTGTGTCCGAGGAGCCCTCTCGCAGCACACGGGAACAGCCACTGTACCGCGACGCCGCGCCGCACGCACCTTTGCTTCACACACACACGCAGCGGCGTCTGTGCACACTCGAAATCACTCAACCTCTCCCGCTTCTCACGTCGAACAGGTACCCGTACTCAAGCTAGCCACAGTGCCAGCGCGCTCGCAAATAAACAAACAGTAGAGCACAAAAACACACACCCACGCTGAACCATACACCAACACCTGATCACTCCGCTGGCTTCCAATCTTACACTCAGACTCACTCACTCGCACACAAACACAATCACACAAAAACACACACACACTCGCACTCACAGACGCACCTGCGCCCACAGCTTCTTTCAACAGGATCTATTTCTTCTCATCTCAACTCTCTTGACCAAATAAACAAAAAATCTTCAGGTTAATAAACACAATCCTTGAGGAGTTCCAAACGCTCTTAGTTGTATTGTCTAGAGAAAAGATTTATGATTCCACTGAATATTAGGGGGGGGGCGTAGATTGTCTTTGTCTGGAGTGTATTGTATGTGGAAGGTTTGTGTGAATGTTTCTTGCGTTATTGAGTGAGTAAGTAGATAAGTGTGTGTGTGTGTGGTGTGTGTGTGTGTGAGTGTGTGTGTGTGTGTGAGTGTGTGTGTGAGTGTGTGTGTGTGTGAGTGTGTGTGTGTGTGTGAGTGTGTGTGTGTGTGTGTGTGTGTGTTGTGTGTGTGTGTGTGTTGTGTGTGTGTGTGAGTGTGTGTGTGTGTGTGTGTGAGTGTGTGTGTGTGTGGTGTGTGTGTGTGTGGTGTGTGTGTGTGTGTGAGTGTGTGTGTGTGTGAGTGTGTGTGTGTGTTGTGTGTGTGTGTGTTGTGTGTGTGTGTGGTGTGTGTGTGTGTGAGTGTGTGTGTGAGTGTGTGTGTGTGTGTGTGTGTGTGGTGTGTGTGTGTGTGTGAGTGTGTGTGTGTGTGTTGTGTGTGTGTGTGAGTGTGTGTGTGTGTGAGTGTGTGTGTGTGTGGTGTGTGTGTTGTGTGTGTGTGTGTGTGTGTGTGTGAGTGTGTGTGTGTGTGAGTGTGTGTGTGTGTGTGTGTGTTGTGTGTGTGTGTGTGGTGTGTGTGTGTGTGGTGTGTGTGTGTGTGTGAGTGTGTGTGTGTGTGAGTGTGTGTGTGTGTGAGTGTGTGTGTGTGTGAGTGTGTGTGTGTGTGGTG